CTATTTACTAACACTCCTTCAATACAGATATGGGTTGCAGTGAATATTGAGACAAATGAAGGCACTTCAACCTCTACCTTATTTTTTCATTAAAAATTACTCTCATTTTTATTTGTTGTGCTCATTTTTTATGGATTTCCTGGGACATGAGCATCGATATGACGAAAGTTTCACTTAGGCTCTTCGAAAGTGCCTCAATACATTGAAAATTAGTGTGTCAAAGGTAATTCGGTAAATTTTACAAAAAATTGAAAAATTCATGGAACATTCATGTGTGATGTTATAGGAAGATTACAACTCTTCATATTAATTTGAAGATGACAAAAAACCTTTGAGAATAAGGAGATTTTTTCCTTCAAGTGTAAGAAAACTTTTTTAACGACCTAATATCAATGCATCTATGGGATTAATCTAGTTATAATCACATGCATTATCTCTATCAAATTACCTTTTTTGCCTTCTATCCTTTATGAAAAGCGTTGATCAAGGCTCGGCACGAGGTGGCTAGATGAAAATGCAAAAAACGGAGTCCCCCTTGACTTTTGGGTATTTTTACGAAGTCCCCTTTGACCCCCCACCATATTCCCTAAAAATCCTCCAAAAAACGAAACATCGACTAAAAAAAACGTCGCCAAATCGCCAATTTTGCATGTGTTTTCGGTCACAAAAACGAAACCCCCTTTGCTTTTCGTCCCAAAAACGATATCCAGCTTGCTTGTAAGCCACCTCGTGCCGAGTCCTGGCGTTGATTTCTGTGGTCAAGTTGAAGAATTGCTACACATGAAGGACAGATTTGTACACTTATGTCACTACCAATTTAGGGCCATAAAGACGGAAAAAGGTCTGAAAAACTATGCATTTCAACTGTGATACTTACTGTACATGTTTCTTTGCTTAATACCGAGTGCTTCACTATTGTAGTATTCTCTCCAATTTCTTCCTCATACCTTTTCACTACATGCTGCGAACTGTTGATGAAAAGGTCAATATTGTCAAGTTCTGAGCCCCGACAGCAATACGCGTAAAAGCTCTTGTCACATCTGCTTTTATATTTTTGTAGGTTCTCTTATAACTCTATTCTAGTGAATCGCTAATGTACTTCTGACAAACCGTAGGGGTAACGGCGCTGTGTAAAAGCGTAAAAGCGATTGCTATCTAAGTCATAACTCACAAGTCCTGCTACGGGCATTGATCTGTGAGTACGGCAGAGATTTCCATCGGTCGTTACCGCTTTGACACTTCTCTACCGCTCCCATTACCGAAGTTTTCTCTCTTAGTAGCTCCCAAAAATTTATTTTGATACTTAGGTTAAGCGACACTCATTAGACTTTCATGTACTTTCATGTACTTGAATGGCACTACAACAGTCTTTGTGTACAACCGCCTATTTCGATAATACCCATGGGAGAGCGCTAAGGCTCTAGGATACGTGGGAGGCTATGGTCAAGATTATAATACCAGCCACTTCGAGTTGAAATAGCAATGATTCGGTGTAAGTGTTCTCGGAACAAGGAATGCATGGAAGATGAAATACTTGCAATTTGATGAGTGATTGATTGTTAAGGGAATATTGAAGTTTAGAATGGATTCCAGTGGAAGGATCCACTGAAAATTTATTGGAAGAAAAACCGAAGGAATCTGTCGAACGCTTCTTTTGTCTCTCTTATTCGAATTCGGCTCTTCAGAGGAATTACAAACTATCCAGCGGTGGCGCCTAACAGATAAAGAAAGCATGTCATAAAAAGAAGCGAAACCAAAATGAGACTTTTCTAGATGTTTTAGTGATTTTTGCGAGCGAACTTTGAAAAACCAATTTCTGAGTGCTTTTCTTCATCAGATTGTATCATTGCGAGATAGAATAATATATTTTGTTTTGAGTACTTTTGAATAATGCAAGATTTTCTCTTTCTAATACAGGGTGTCCCAAAAGTATGTATCGAACGTTTGATCGTTAATATCTCTCTTCCCAAGAAGTCTTTTGCCTTGCTTCAAGTACCATTTTGTAGAGCTGGCTTCAACTTAGATTTGCATTAAAGAACGAATCACCCATCTCTCTTCATTACTGTAGGATTACGGTAGAAACTTGAAACATATGGTGTCAATGTGGAAAAAGCTGCAGTTCCAAAATTCTTCAAAAAATTGTGAAAACTTGTGTAATAGGGTTTTTATGGATGCTGAGTTCAATACTCAACTATTCACAAGATTACAAAGCTTTCTAAACGGTGTAATCGCACTTTTTAGGAACATTGAAAAAATGGCCGCTACCTCTTACTTGGCATAACTCCTCAATGAAGCATCATAATAAGTTGGGAACTTTACAGTTATAATCAGCAACTCTAATTAGCCTAGTGTGAAAACTTTCAGGCTGTTTTATTTCCTTTCTAAGGCAAAATATGGCCTTTCATTGCTTAAAACCCTCTTTGAAGTTTCTACCGTAATCCTACAGTAATGAAGAGGAATGAGTGATTCGTTCTATAATGCAAATCTAAGTTGAAGCTAGCTCTACAAAATGGTACTTGAAGCAAGGCAAAAGACTTCTTGGGAAGAGAGATATTAACGATCAAACGTTCGATACATACTTTTGGGACACCCTGTACATATCAAAATGAAATAATTTATTGAGGTTGAGAAAAATTACGAAATTTTCACATTGATGCAACACTTACGTATAACCCGAAAAATATTTGCGCAAGACTTATTATTAACCCAAGAAAAATTTCTCAGGAGATCAGAAGAATTTAGCTTTTTATTATTTATAACCTCTCTATGTGAATATTATGATTGAGTATAAAAGGCCATTCCCTGTGAATGCTGACGCTTCCCTATAAGGAAATGAAGACCTTGGTGACCTAAGATAGAGCAGCTGTCTACAGTAATCCGATCCGCAAAGACATCATCTGATCAAATTTCCGTCATGTTACAAATTTGGTCACTGTATTCGTTTGCACAAACTACATTTTTTTATTATGACTTAAAATTTGAAAACGGGTCTTTTCAGGCTCTCATAAAACTTTTCAATTCATCAAAATTCCTGTCTAGTTCCCGCCTCCTCACATTCCACACAACCACCTTGCATTCCCAGCCTGACTGATGATGTGAGCTCAAGGACAAAGTGCTCGAGCCCCGCCCCCATGCATGAAGCCCCTCCCCTTCATTTTCTTGTTCCCTGTCTACTGGATAGCATTTACTGTGTAGTCATCATGGTTATGACCTCATTTTTTTACTTTCTGCGTAAACCATGGTATCTACGCTGTTACTTAAATGGTGTCACTAAATGAAAGTCAGGTCTTAGAACCGGTTACTGTACGAAACTGAGTCGTTACGTGAAAGTAATGTCTGTAATGTCTTTACGTTCCATTAGCCTTCATTTTTATGTCTGAACTGAATAGTAAAGCTGTTTTAATGTTATCTGGAACCTCTAACATCTTGAGTTTCATTACTTTACCACCTTAGAGCCTTGAGAATTCATCAGCAAGTTCCTTCGATATGTGTGTGTGATTTTTATGTCTTCAGATATCTTATGGGTTCTGAACTCGCTTAGAGCTTAAAAATCGGTATGCTCGCAAATCATCTGATTTATCAACTGTGCCTCAAAAGTAAAATTCTTACAGATGACCAACTCTAAAGATTTTTTCTTCCAAAAATCTTCACATTTTTCTCGAACAGTATATCTTTGTTTCTCGTTCTTTTCAATCAACTTATTGTTTTGTTCCAGTTCGGTTTGAGAAGTGCTTTAAATTTATTGAGTCTCTTCTTTCAATTTGAAACAACGACAACGAATCAAGAATAAAAGCGAGAAAAACCGCAGTGAAAAAAAAATTATACATTTACACATAGGTTGCCTTGAAGCAAAATTCAGCCGTATAAGCCCGTTTCTAAGCTTTCCGAAAATGAAGAAATTTCATGAAGTCCCCTTTCACCCTTTTCGTAAACGTCGATTAAGAAAACCTAACCTAATTTGAATTTTTTGGACACACAAAAACGATATTCCCCTTGCTTTTTCGCCCAAAGCCGGGCCCTGATTATAATCAAAATCTTTCTAGCCTTCAAAAGATTATGTATCTATCAGTGGCGTACCGAGGGGGGGGGGGCGGGGGGGGGCGCGCGCCCCCCCCGAGAATGGGTCGCGAAATTTTTGAAAGTTACTTATATGGGTTATAAAAATGTGTAAGTGACTTGTTTATTTTTGTAAATAATTAAAATAATTTTTAAAAATTTTTAAAAATTCAAATTAGCCTTGTAAAAAAATTTTTTTCGGGGGCGTGGCTGACGCCACGCCCCCTTTTTCCAGATTTTAGGGGTCGGGGACCCGAAAAAATTTTGGGAAGCACCCCTAAAATTTTTTCGGAGTGCGTGGCTGACGCCACGCACCTTCTTTAGAAAAAAATTTTTGTCGCGCCCCCCCCGAGCCGAAATCCTGGGTACGCCACTGGTATCTATTATATATGCCAGGTTTTTTTCTAGATTTTCTTTTTCTCTTGAGCAGATAGTTTTGTGTAACTTCTAAAAATTTATGACTGGATCTCTTTCAACGTACTCTTCCTGAAATCAAAAAACGCCATTTCAAGCAATTGTTTTAAATAGAACAAGACTAAATATCACAATAGATAAAAAACAGGGTACGCTCAAGTTATAGTAATAGAAAGTAAAGATAGTGGGTCTATATGTTAATGTGTTCAATTTCTCATATTTTCGGCTGCTTGATTTAGCACGACTACCTTTGTTGATATTCCACTTCATTGACTTCGGTACCACTTTTAGTTCCAAAAAATTATGTAAATATTCTCGTTCGTCACGCCTTCTCCACCATCACCAAGTTTTGCCTCACTTACTTGCTCAAACTTCTCTTATCTCATCTACCTGTCCAAGCGGCGGCTGCTTTTATCTTAGCCATCTGTTGCTACCCGCTAGATTTGATCACCTCATTACCACCAAGGCTAGAAAACAACCAGTTCTGCGTCACATACATGATATGCACATCATCCATAGATCGCTTACAGATGAATGAATGTTCGAGTGGTCGGCTCGTGTCTTTTCTGGTCGAAGGAGATGATGTTGTATCGTGTGAAGTGTGCCTCGAGCCGTTCCAGCCGGTACATCGTCCACCGAAAATTCTCCCATGCGGTCATAACTTTTGCGATCAATGCTTGTTTAGTCTATGTTGTCATCAACAGGTAAGTAAAAAAGTTTTAGAGCGCAAAAATCTTGAGAAAATTCAAGAAAAGAATTTAGAACCTTGAAACACCAGGCAGCGAAGCAAAAATGTTTGGAATGGGATTTTGCGATGTTCAGATGATTTTTGATGAGAGAAAAGTAGAAAATCTCACTGATAATCTTTTCATTTTCCACTTCTTTGGTGTATCGTTAATAAATGAATAAGCAGTTTTAGATTTTCACAGTAAGATATAAGAAAAAGGAAAATTGCTGAAATTTCAAAGTAGGATTGACTAAAAAGATCTAATCTCATTGATTCATCCCTTTTAAACCAGAAAACTTTTGAAATTAGTTTATTCATGAAAACCTTTACACCTGCTAGCTGTACCTTGCTTATTCCGAAGCTTTTAGAATTTTTATACTTAACATCGTTTTTCAGATTGTTTTTGCAAAATGTAAAACCTCTTTCTCATGCGTGATTTTTACAATGACTCAAGATTTCACAAATTCTTGTTTTGACCAAAGGATTTCTAAAAAATTCTTGTTCATAAGAACCTGTAAGCTTGCTAACTGTGCCTTATTCCGAAACCTTTTTCCTGTGTAATTTGTACAACTAGAGAATTCACAAACTCACAAAATTTCTTCTGATAAAATTCTTCTATTTTGTGCTTGTAAACTGAAAAAGTTCAGATTTCTGGTACTCCCACGTCAGTGGTCTTTCATTTCTTTATCAAATTTTACCAAAAATTATCCATATCAAAGGTTTTTAGTTTTACAACTTAAGTAAAATTTTACAAACTGAAATTTTCTTTAGCCTGCAGTGCTTGCAAAAACAATCAAACTTGCAAATTTTCTGCAATTTCGACATTATTTAACTCCTGTTTTTTTTTCGAGTATAATTTGGGTTTTTAGTAAAACAAACACTAAAAAGCATGATAGTTTTTCGAACCCTGTAAGTGCCCGTTGAATCTCAATGAATGGAAAATACTTATCAATCATTAGTCTATCAAATCACGAGTCTCTGTTGAGGAGGTGGTAGAAAAATCAAAATATTCTATTCCAGTATTATTTGCTCGATTCTATCCGCTGCCCTACCTGTCGAGCTTCGTTCTCGGCTGATGTGGCAAAGGTCGCGCCAACCAACTGGGACCTATGCAGTGAGTCCAAACGATCGTATTATTTACACACACGCTTAGTGTCAGTCATTTGTCTTCAGAAATCTTGGAAAATGTCCAAAAAGGTCGCGAAGTGAATGTGACAGTTATCCATGTGCCCGACACTCCCTCTCGAGTTCTTCCAAGTACGTCGAATTCGGAGAAAAGTCGTGGTTCCATGGAACAGAGTAGCACCTCTAGCAGTCATAGGTACGGTAACAATCATTCGCTTCAGGACCAAAAATAGAACTGCTTAATGCTATTCACGTCTATTTAGAGAAAGATGCGGTGATTGCAAACGTAAACTTCCATCGAAAGTGCTAGCCAAAGCTGCTAGATTTTGTCAAAATTGCAATAGCAAGGGCACAATGGTATGTCACGACGATTAAATAGACAATTGTCAAAGAACATTGAAGAGGGGTAAAAAACGTTTTTTCAGACATTCTTTTGCCTCGAATGTTGCGTGAACAAACATAACGGACATTTCTTGTCTTCTTTATCGCAACTGCAAACTGAACAGTTCAAGGTAAGGCAGAAAAAGATAGCATTTAAATAAGAATTTTGAGGGGAGAGAAATGCAAGCTATGGTTATACTATATACATATACACTTGCTATATAGGTTACTAGGTCTTGAGACGTTATAAAACTAAGTAAAAATTACTACTAAGTGTAAATTAACGCCTTTTGCAAAGGAAGCCTTATGAAATAATCTAAATTTTTATTGTATCAAAAGCCCAGTGAGTTTTCACTGTAAATTTGAATCATAGTTGAAATTTGATTGGTCACGACTTTATAAGTGGTTACGAACGTTGAAAACCAAAATCGTTGAGCTACTGATTACGTAGACCGGGGGGGGGGGGAATGACTTGCGGAATTTTTAAAGCTACTTATATGAGTTGCAAATTTGTACGATGACTTATTTTTACTTGTAAATATTCAAAACAATTTGTGGAATCTTTTGAGAATTTGTGGTTAGCTCTGTAAGAATAATCGGTTCGCTCTTAAGGCGCTGGAAGAAGTTCCATAAACTTTTTTTTGTTGAATTTATGGCTAACACCGCCTTCCTTCTTTCAAACAGGAATGTTAATCCTTTAGTTTGATCATTGTGAATTTCATCTTTTTTTGCATTATTTGGAGCGTAAAAATCCTAAAAGTAATTCCAAAGTTTTTTTTTGCGATGCTTAAAGACCCTAAAGCGTTTTCTTCCTCGCACTTTCGTTAGAGCTAGATGACTGAGTTGTTTAAACATCCATAGAAAGTTGTATATTTTGCTTTGAATGAATTTTATTTCAAGCTTTTATTCCCATCTTTTTTAGGTTCTGAACGAACTCCGAGATTTGCAACGAAATCTGCGCGATAACCTTCGCAATTCCACATTCGCAAATGGACTCGCTGATCTATCCGTCATCAGTTTCGCCGAGGTACGGCTAGGCACCAATCTCAAATTCTTTTAATCTGAATTGTGGGTCATTCGGATCGCTTACAGAATCCGTTGAGCAGTGGTCTAACCGCATTAAACGAAGCGATTCAATTAGTCGAATCGACAACTGTTCTTCATCCAAATAAATTAAGGTAGGTCAAACTTCTAAACAGAAATCATTCTCATAAATATCTTTTTGTTTAGTGAAATCAGAACAGAGCAAGTGCGAAATTGCTCAAAACTTCTATGTTGTTCATACGATAGTAAAGAAGAGAAAGCAAGTAAGTAAAACTATTCAAAATCTTTTGTTTCTTATTCATAATCCAGAATAATTCCTTTTAGATGTTTCCACCACCTCATTCTACCAACGAATTTCTACGCCAAGGTCCAAAGACACCTTGGATGTCGGCTCTCTCGATTTTCTCCTCACATTAATTCCTAACAAACCTCCTCATAGCGAATTATTGCAATTAGTGGAGAGTATGTCACCAATGGACTCCCCTGAACAGAGATTAGATTCGTTCTTGAAGGCAGCCGCTATAATCACAACGATTCTATACGAGTGAGTTGATAGAGTAATTTTTTGGAAACTTAACAAAGAAAGATTCATAGGTTTCCCAGGAGTCTTGCACGAAAGGTGCTAAAAATTCGCTCAAAAACATTTTAGACGGAATGTCTGATTACATTTTATGTTTTTGAAACTATGTTAGAAATTATTCGGAACGAAATTGAAATGTCTAGTTGAAAACTTGAAAGTCATAATTCTTGGTGAAAACATCCAGCCATCACAAACTTCACACAGTGCAAGAAAGTTCCTAGTGTAATTTCAATCATTAATGAATTCAGATTTTTGGACCTTCTAGCATCTTCAGAGATTAAAAACTGAAAAAAAAATACGATTCATGGACCAACCTAGTAGTAAGCAAACAATGGCAAATGAAAGGTGACAGGGAAGCAAAAATCAAATAAAATATGGTCACCAAATTTGAGTTTACCATTTTTATTCTTGAAGTTTTCATATCAGTACGGCACCTTATAATTTCCAATATCTTCATTATTATTGCCACTTAGTTCAATTCATTATTCTTCATAAATTTTTGTGCGGTTTGAAAAAATCTTTTTGCCATTTATTTTTGATGAATTATTGTTCCAGTGACACTTTTTGGATGCAAGGCCGCTCCTAGTTTTTTTTGCTAAACTTATGACGGCCAATTTTGCATTTTTGAACTATGATTGATCGCTGCCAAAGTGCAAAACGCTCCATTTGTTTACGTACGATCCCGGTGCTCCGTATTGTTCATTAAATTGCGCAGAAAAAAGTGCATCGTGAATCTGGAAAATTCAACTTAGACTTATATTAGTTGCTTGTTACTCATTGTTCTAGTTGACTTTTATTCAGGCATATCTTTTTTTAAATAATCGTGATGATCTTAAAAATAGAAGTTAAGATAAATAATTCTTTTCTATCGAGTAAAGTAAAATTCTTTTCAGTGACGTTCCAAAAGAAGAACTTGCGATCTATGCCGATGCCCTACTTCACTGCTTCCACCAAGCCAACAACCTCTCTAGGAAAGCTGTTCTTTACCTCAAGCCGAATTCAAGAAAAACAATATGGAAAGGGGTGCAGATGGCATATACAGAGCTGTTGAGAGTAGGAGCAAAGGTAGGACAATTGGAAAAAGAAAATTTCTTGTTGGAAAGAATAATATGTAATATAGAACTTTCCTTCGTACCATCCAGAGCGTATAGCTTTGATAGACGACCTTGCCTATCTATGTCATCTTTATGCCGATGTTTGTGATCAGGTAACAATTTTTCGTAAAGTTACCGTATCCAAATTCTACATTTTTAAGGCTACCGTAACCATATGCATGATAGAAGCAGCTAGAGCACGAGCAGCTTCGGATGAAAAATTAGATGAAGTTGATCGCCTGAAGACTGCACAACGTCTAAAGGTATGATCTATCACTTTTCTAGATTTCTTCTTTCATTTTTTGTCCTTTGCCTATTAGAATGTGACTAAAAGTGATTTATTAAGGAGATAGATCATCATTTACTTGAATGTCGCCGTCTTCAGCGTCTTCAGGACCTACGTACCACGAAAACGAAGAAGCCTGGCAAGCTAAAACGGCTATGGAAATTTCTATTTAGGCGATCTAAGATAACCAAATGAGAAATTTTGTTTAATGTACAGAGCAGACACAGAGAAATCAACTATATCCGGTTATTTGCATGATTTATTGAATTTTTTTATGTTGAGAGTTTTATATTATTGTCTTCGCATTTTGTAAAGAAAATAAATCATTCTAATTCATGTGACTTTTCAAACGCTGGCCACAATGGCATTTTATCAAAGTGCGACTTTAAAATGCGCGCGATTGATCATTCGCGACTGACTGTCAGCAGCCAGCCGACAAACAGATGCTATCAGTTGAACCGATACTGACACCTGCGCCATCGAGAAACCGAGAAAGGACAGTCGAGACTGTCCTTGTTGTCCCGCTCTCAGCAAAATATCGCTCTCATGGTACTGGTGATAAACATAGCACTGGATTAACTCATGAGTAATCCTTTTCGGCTCGCCGCCAATGTGCTTCTCGTGCGAGTTGCGCCAAAATGGCGTCACCATATCAAATTTTGTCATTGCTACCTGGGTAAACAGCGGATTTGGAAGATATACTGCAGAATACATAAGCCTCGCCTATTATGGCTATAAAATATTGGTAGAAATATTTATAGTGTCTATGATTGGGTCATAACATCCTTGCAAAGTATGCGCTGAATTTTTAAGGAAGCGTTGTGTACCTTCTATTGAATGAGGATAGAATTCTTGAACACCATGCTAATTTTTCAAAGTTCTGTCTGCTTACCAAGTTCACAAATTTCATTGAATCATATGTACAGGCCGATTTGGCCGTTATAGTATGTAATAAATCTTTGCAGTCAATTGATAAAAAACAATAAATAAATAATTAACAATGAAGTAAATAACAGTGGTCGAGAAACTCCTTGAAATCAGTTTGTAACACTCACTATTCAAGCATATAACGCTACGCTTGAAAATTCTCTTAGGAAGCTAGTTTAAAAACTTATGAAACTCGAAAATTACTTGTCAAGACCTTTTCATACCTTTTTATTTCCAAGCAATTTTGAAAATTTTATAGCGCATTGTCGGGAGAGGGGAGACAAGGCTCTTAACGTCTGATCAGAACTCAGTCGGAACTAGATTTGAATTAATAAGTTGAAGTAAAAATAAGGTGTAAAGCAGAGCAGATAAAGCTATATTCTGTTTACCAACTAGAACTCTTAACAGTAAAGTGGTATAACGAAGAGAAACAAGCTTTGTCGTATTCCAAAGAAAACTCTTCTCCTACGAATTTGTATCTCTGCTTAACTTGTTTCTCTTCAAAAATATACCATTACCTCGTTCCTTCCAGTATGAGCACTCTTTACTTAAATTTCCTTGTTCAAAAAAGTCTTTAAATTCGCTTTTCTGCATTTTCCACTCTAGTACTCAGGCACAAGTAATCACGCATTCAAAGTGCGGTGTACACGATAAGATCTAATTGTAAGAACAACAAAGCGATTCTGGACTGAGCGATGGCGCAATAGCCATGTAGAGTCAGCGGTACGTTCACATCTGATCACTTCATCTTATCCTATACATCACTTATAATATCGTGACAGCGCTCACGCGACCCCCATATCATGCGCAATCGGTACACTTTTATGGCTAGCGATGGGCACAAGTGTAATAAAAAACGGAGGAGTCAAAAAATTCCATTACTCTGTCATATTTTAACGGATCCGAGTCTGCTGAGTCGTTGATGTAACTTGCCCCAATAAGTGGCAATACGGTAGCCCTTCGCACTGCTGGATGTCGTCGGCACGTCCTTCGTTGTTTGTTTGTTAGTGAACTTGACCAAATACTTTTTTTCGCACACAGTGAATAACAAACAGTAGCTACCGGTTAAGAGTAAGACCGCAGGTAACATATCATACTCAGCTCTACGAGGATTGTCCCTCGAAAACCTGAGCTGAACTGTGCCCTTTCCAAAATTCTGTCGCTTTGAACTTAGACATCGCGCAAATTAAGACAAAATGGTGCTCGCTATTGTTTATAAACTATTATAGGTATTATATGAAAAACTTGCCGGTGGCGAAACACTAACAGCATTTTTGTTGGCGTGGATGATACAAGATTCTTGTGGATAAAAAATATTGAGGGTTATGCGAGATCTCGGTCTTTTTACTTCTGAGAATCCTCACACTACACTCTTGGAGATTTATTTGCAGGGGTGTAGCTTAAAAAGTGACACAATCTATTTTGGTTATTAATGCAGATGATAGAGGTGAAACTCAGTCGCGGAACCGTTTTCCCCAACATTCTGACAGCTCGAATGAGATATGATCTTTGTTTCTGATTCCTGATTTAGGGACAAATCATCGAATTCAATATGCAGCCATAAATAACCAACCTGCTCACATTGTATGCCTGAAATTATCGTTAAGTTCATCTTCGCGGGCAAAGTCAGTGTCCGACATGCTTAATCATTCACTTGTTTTTGGAAAGTATGGGTTTACTGTGACTTAGACTGCAGCTTATCCTAGCAGAATTTGTTTGTATTCATCCTTCTGAGGACAGATGATGGCAATTCGACTTTGCCGCTTTGCTTTGAAGCCGCCTGTCATTCTGCCACCGCTATGACAAGCAGAGCGAAAGCAAACATAAACAGATCCCGGAATTCCTCAGTTTATAAGTCTTGTGTACTGCCATGAAAAAATATTAGGGTGTCCAAATATTCTTTTTACCATTTTTTCCCTAAACATCAGCATCTCTCGCAAATTGGGGCACCTTCAAAGTTCACAAATACATGGTCGTAATTCTATAAGTATATGATGCTCTGATCACGTGCGTGAGAGGAGCTCAGGAGGGCGGAATTCGCCATTTTATCCCATTCATTTTTTTCTTTATTTCTAGCCTTGGAAAAAATGCGGAAATAGTACAGTTGAATGTGCGTTGTGCTAAGCATACGCTAGGATAAATGTGGAATTCTATAGCCATTCTGGGGTGGAGATACGATTTTGAAGGAAAGGCTTCTTTTCGACTGCTATCAGATTTCAACTCAAAACTTCCGGTGGTCTGGGTGGATTCTTCATAGCCATCTTGTAGAGCTTGCTTTCCCTGTCGAATAATTACTCGAGCCACATCAATTGAAGGAAAAATACAAAGAAACGATGGTTATGGTAAAAACGGCAAAAAAAGTTATGGGACACCTTATTACCTACAGAATCAATTGATATTCTTTTGACCCAGGAAATCGGTGAACTACAGCTCAAAAATTTTCACTTCTTCCTACATTGTGAGTTCTTTGAAAGCTGAGCATGTCTGCTTATTTATTCACCGCCCGTTTCGGTACGGAACAAATACCGACTTAGCGAATAATGATATTGCTATTCAGCGCCAATAGTCATTTGTCGAGCATTCTTGCATTTTTAAGCGACAACACAAAGCGAATTCGAATGACATCGAAACAATAGACAGACATAGTCACTGCACAGAAGGTGGTACTGTTCAAAATAAACATTTGAGCTTAAAAGTGAACTTTAATGGTTCATGTTATTTAGGGTGTCCCAAAAGTAAGTACGCACTTTTCAGTTGTTAATATTTCTCTTCCCATTCTTTTTCCGCCATTTAATTACCATTCTGTAGAGGAGGCTTCAACTTAGATCTGTAGTATCGAGCGAATCACCGATCGCTCTTCATTACTGTAGGATTACTGTAGGAACTTCGACAAAAATTTTAGGCCATTGGAAGACATATTTTGCCTCGGAACAAAACCAAACAAGCTAAAAACTCTAATACTATGGTAATGGAAGCCGCTGAATTCGAATATGAAATTTTCACTTTACTATGATGTTTCTTTCCAAAGTTATCCCAGGTAAACCTAATAATCGAATTTTCAGTGCTTGTCAGAAATGTGATTACACCTTCAAAAAAGCTGAAAACGCTCTAAAACGTTGTGTGGTGGAATCAGCGTGCACGAAAACCCTAGCACACGTTCTTTCAGATTTTTATAGAGAATTTTGTCAGATGGCATATTTCACATTGGCTCCACATGCTGGTAGTTCTTACCGTAATCCTATAGTAACGAAGAGCGATCGGTGATTCGATCGATGCCGTGAATCTAAGTTGAAGCCTCTTCTACAAAACGGTGCTTGATTGGCAAACAAAGACCCATTGGGAAGGGATATATTGACGATTGAAAAGTGTGTACTTACTTTTGGGACACCCTGTATTACATTGGCTGGACAATGGATATCCTTTCGCATGCAGTAAGAGATTAGATAACTTTGACATTACATACTAATCAGTTGTAAGATTTTTTGTATAGAGGCAATTCAAACTCTACCATCGCGAACTAAAAACTTACTATTCTCCATTAGCAATAAAAGAAATTATGTCCTTCTACGACTAACCTTTTGACTAGGAAAGGATCCCAAGTGTCTATCTGGAATCAAATGCATATCATTAGATGCGCAATGATGAGCTGATTCCAAGTCCACTTTACATACATATCTACTTCATAATTTGCTAAACTGAGTTATGGTTGTTTGAATGTCCAAATTGAGCAAACATTCTGTGCTATACTTCTAAGAAACAGCGTACAAAAATACACACATTTGCGTTTTTGGTGAGTGTTTTTCTGTTGTAGTCAGTAAATACAGCACCATGCCAATTAAGCTCTTCCAAGCTAGATTTTGGAACAAATTATTTATTAGAACCCAGTGACTTCAATGTCGCAATGTTCGGTTGTGCTTGAATGTTGGCATGAATCATTCGTAGATGTAGTTTTCAAGCTACTACCAAGACTGGTAACAACTCTTTATTGGCGGACGTCGACTCTTCGGCGACCAACGTCTTCTTCGGAACCTGAAAAGTCGAAGTGATAAGTGACTATGCGGTCAGACATCAAGAACAAAGACGAAACAAAATTGAAAAGAAAATTAGTTCAGATAGCAAAACCAGAGCCAGGAACACTTTTTATTCACCTTGGAAGTAGCACAAGCGGTAGTCGAAAAGAAAACAAAACGTCAACGTCAGCCATTAAAGTGTTGTTACCAATCTTGGGTAGCTTGAAAACCAATTCTACTAATGACTTCACTTTCTCC